AGGGAATCCGATGACTTCCTCTGACCTCCACAGGCAGTGTACAACATGGGTGCATTTACATACATACAGGCATAAAACTCATATACAAAAAATAAAAATAATAAACATTTATTTTCATTTTATTTATTATTTATTTATTTAGGTCCTTTTGAGACAGGGCCTCCCTATAACCCCAGCTGTCTGGAACTCACTATGTAGACCAGGCTGGCCTCAAACTCATAGAGATCCGCCTGCCTCTACCTCCTGAGTCTTAGGACTAAAGGTGTGTGCCACCACACCCATCTTAAATATAAAAATATTTATATAAAGTAAAAATAATTGTAAAAATATAATAAATGTTGAAAAGCAGACAAAAATTTTTTGAAATGACAAAGAATTGGATCAGGTTTTTTCTGAGTCCTTTAATAGAATCTGCCAGGTAGTCGATTCAAGCTATTGTTTTGCGCTGTGTGTGGCTTAGGAGGTCAGAGGTCAGTTGCCCACTTCCTGGCTACATTGACAAGTTTTCCTTCTTAATATACCAGATACTGCTTCTGGCTGCACTGAGCTTTGTGGACTCTGGGCTGCCCAGGTTTTCACTTGCTCCAGAGAGCACCTCCCTCCATTTTGTGTGTCCAAGAGTTGCTAATTTCAAAACTAGGGGTGTCCCTCCGGTGCACTGAGATTTCACTGGAAAGTGAAAACTGAAAGATCATGTCATTCTACCTTGACAGTCAGTGTATTTAGAACCGTAGCAGCTTTAAAGCATCTTGAGAGGGGGAAGAGGCCATAAAAATTGAGCAAGGCTGGGTGGGGGAGGGCAAGATTGCTCAGCAGTTAGGCACACTTACTGCATGGCATCTCACAACTGCCTGATGCCTGCTTCTGGGCTCCAAGGTCTCAACTGCCTGATGCCTGCTTCTGGGCTCCAAGGTCTCCTGCACACATGTGGTACAGCCTATCTAGAGATCAGCTCTCCCTCATCCAGCAGTAATTAACTGTCAAGCTAAGGTTGGGGCCTCCTGCCCATTTCCCTAGTTCTTTGCTGAGTTTTTGTCTGATTGAGTTTGCATGGGTCTTGTACATGCTGTCACTATTGTTGTAAGTTCATATGAGCAAGTTCCCAGGGACCTGGAAGACTGTTTCCTTATGATCATGCACCAACCCTGGCTCTTACAATCTTTCTGCCCCCACCATGGTCCCTGAGCCCTGGGTGGGTGAGGTTTGATATAGGAGTCCTATCCAGGGACACACACGTACTCTGCAGTCTCTTAATCTCTACACTTTGACCAGTTGTGGCCTTCTGTATGCATTGCCCTCTGTTGCATGAGAAAGCTGCACTGCTAAGTGTTGAGAGATGCATGAGTATTCTCTCTACCCCCTGTTCCACTGTTACATGAACCTTAGGTATAGAGGTTCCACTGTAGATGTGTCACGTAGGACTGAACATCTCTCAGATATATATTTACTGTGTATGTGTGACCAGTTGTGGAACTCTGTAATAGTCTCCCATCTGTTGCAAAAAGAAACTTCTTTGATAAGTGGTGAATGATGTACTTGTCAGTAATCCATATTTAGCATACAGTAAGGAATTACATTTATCTAGGGATGTGACAGAGGTAGGGTTTTCTCTAGGATCTATGACCTCTCCAGCCATGTATCTTTGGCTATGTTTACAGTGCCACCGTTGAGCTTGTTCCCCGTAGCCCGGCCCTGGGTGGCCTGGAACTCACTATGTAGACCAGGCTGTCCTCAAACGCACAAAGATCCACTTGCCTCTTGCCTCCCAGAGTGCTGGGACTAAAGGCGTGCGCCCCCACTCCCGGCAGGCCATTGAGAGGACTTTTAAGTCCAATTAGCTGTTGATCACCCCCAAGATATAGTGTCAGTGCTGCACTACTGTACTTTTTGTGCTGGTCATTGTTGTGATTATTAGACTTTAAAGCTGGAGTTGGACCACTGATTATCTCCCTCAACAACTACCATAGTATTCTTTAGAACTATGTAAGCTTGTCTTGAAGACAATTTTATGAGAGTTTAAAAAAGAAAAACATCCTAGGGCAGGAAAGCAGCTTCCCAGAGGAGAATGGAGGAGAGAAGGACAAAAACAAATACCATGGCATTTTAGTTAAGGTGGCATAGAGGTCAGCCATATGTTGGTAGGCAACCACATAATGGGAAGCAAGGGACTAGGGAATCTGTAAGAGAAAGAATAAAGCCCAAAATGTTAGGGAAAGCATTCTTATTACAGAGATTTGGAATCATGATTTTTCTCAATCATCTGATGCTATAAGAATATGTGCCAACATAATATGTTCTTGTCACTGAAAGTTCAATAGTAAAGAACAGTAACCACCTATTTCAAATATAGAAGACAAATAATGATTCACTCCATGAACTCCATTTTGTGAAATGATCTTAAGATAGAATTTTTTGGGTATTGTTTTTTTGTTTTTTTGTTTGTTTGTTTTTTGAGATAGGGTCTCACTATGTAGGCCTGGCTGACCTGAAACTCCCTTTGTAGACCTTGAACTCATACACATCTGCCTGTCTCTGCCTCTGGGATTAAAAGCATGTGCCACCACATCAGGCTTTAAAATAGGACTTTTAGTAAACTAAGTAGCCTTAATTTTAAAGTCAGATGACATTTTTATTTTTTTTCCTTTTTAATATATATAAGATATTTTTAAGATTTCATACGTGAAAATTGTATTTGCATCATTACCACCCCCCCAGTTCCTCCTCCTATTCCTCCCATGCCCCCCCACTCTTCTCGATTTCTTGTTACATACACACACGCGCACACCCACACACACATTTATATATGCATGCACTGAGTCCGTTTACTTGGTGCTCCTTTGTAATGTTTAGGGCTGACCACTTGGGATTAGATAATTTATCAGGGAGTTAGTCCCTGGAGAAAACTGATTCTTCCTCCCTCAGTATCTATTGACTGCCTGTAGTACTTCTTGAGATAGAACCCCATGTCCCCATCCTCACTGGCATGTCACTTGGTTTTGTCATGATGCAGATCTTGTTGGGCTACCATACTGTGGATATTTCATTGGTGGAGCTTCCCTATCTAGAATGTATTTTCTAGCAGCAGTCATCTTGTTCCTCTGGCTTTTATAGTCTTTCTGCCCTTCTTCTGTGATATTTCCTGAGCCTTAGGTGTAGAGGCTGCATTGTAGATGTATCAGTTAAGCCTAGCACACCATAGTCACTTACTCTGTATTTTTACTAGTTGTGGAACTTTGTAATAATCTCTCTCTGTTGCAAAAAGATGTTTCTTTGATGAGTGATGAGAGGTATACTTGACTGTGAATATAAGTATATGTATTTAGAATATAGTAGGAAATTATGTTGGGGGCTGGAGAGGTGGTTGAGTGGTTAAGAGCAATGGCTATGGGGCTGGAAGAATGGCTCAGCGCTTAAGAGCACTAGCTGCTCTTGCAGAGGACCTGGGTTCAGTTCCAAGCACTCACATGGCAGCTAACAACCAACTGTTGCCCTCTTCTGACCTCCACTGGGCATTGCATGACATGAGTACATTTACACATATGCAGGCAGTATACTCATACACATTAAAACAAACAAAAAAAGAGTACCATCTGTTTTTCCAGAGGACCTGGGTTTAGTTCCTAGCACCTTCATGACAGCCAACAAACCTCCCAAAACTCCAGTTCCAGGGGATCCAACGCCCTCTCCTGGTCTCCTTGGGCATTGTACACATGGGTGCATTTACATTCATGCAGGCAAAACACTCACACACATAAACCAAAGTGAATTATTTTTAAAAAGAAGAAATTATGTTGGTTTATAAAAGTGACCATAGTAGGTTTTCCTCTAGGGTCTGTGACCTCTCTAACCACGTATACTTTGCTATGTTTATAGTACCATTTTCTCTATAAAGGTGGGCCTTAAGTCCAATTTAACAGCCATTGATTACTCCCAATATAAAAGTGCCACTATTGCATCAATAGAGATAGTTTGCTGGGCTGGTCATTAATGTGGCTCATAGACTTTATAGCCAGGTAAGGCCATTGATTGTTTTTCTCCCTTTGCAGGCTTTGCGTAGTATCTTCTCGTACTATGAGAGCTAGTCTTTAGGGAGTAGGCTTTCAGGTCAGTTCCAACTCAGTTGTTCTAAGTCCTGTGTCTGAAGTATGTTCTGTCTTCAGCAATAAGGTCTTAACTCTCAAGTTCTGGGGGGCAGCTAAGACCTGTGGCAATAGCCTATATTATTTTGGGAGTCTCCTGGCCTACCCTGACAACCAAGTGGAAGGGAGGTTTCCTTTGCTGTAATTTTTATTATACAGCCTTCAGCTATGCACATAATCACATATATGTTATATGTGTATTTTCAGTGGACTTATGAAATAATACATTTCACTGTGGTTCACAACACTTAAGATGGTTCACATCTCTCCTTCCTCACTCTTCCCCGTGTACAGGCTTCTCTTCTCCCTCCCCAGTTAAAGAACCCACCATCTTCCCCATTTCCTGCTTGATACCACCTGTGCCCTACTTTTCCCCTCTTTCGAGCTCCTTCTTCCCCAGGTGATAATTTTAGATCTTCAGAAGTACCAGAAGAACATGAGTTTATTGGGAACTATTCAGATTTCAAAATAACGAATATTCGCTTAGTAATTTTTATTTTACTATGTGGGCATTAAATCTGTCCGGTATTATTATTTTGGTTATTTACTTCATTCAGGTTGCAAAAGACTTCCTAGGTGTAATGGTGCACACCTTTAATCTCAGCAGGTAGAATTCTTGAGTTTGAGGCCAGCCTGATTACATAGCAAGTTCTATACCAGCCAGGGCTACATAGTGAGACCCTGTCTGAAAAAAACAAATTAGATGACTATATTTTGAAAAAGAGTTAAAGTTCCTTAAGACTTGATATATCCTCTCCACATTTATTTTTAATATAGCATACTTACAGAAGAGTGTACAACTTGGAGGTGGTTACTGAGTCAGCATTAACCATATAGTAACTGTTGGGTGTCATTTTACAGGAGACTTTGCAGCAGCTGATTATGATGTCATTGCCAAATGTCTTAATCATTGGTAAAAATCCCTTTTCTGGTAAGTATGAAGTTAGTATCATGTGATAATAATGTCTTTGTGTAACACTAATAATGTTTACCAAGAGCTTGACTATGTATATTACCTCACTAGGTTTTCCGTAAGTCTTTAGGAAAAGTTGGAGGTGATATTCTTAAATAGAAAAGAAGCCTAGAACATTTTTAAAATTTTTAAAAATTTATTTTATAACCACATAATTAGTAGAAGCATTTCATTACAACTGTATTGACATAGTCAATAACAGTTTCCAGAGCAAACATGCATCTCTTTCAAAATTGGCTGTAAATTTTTAGGTTCACAGCTGAATTAATACAGTTATACAATACTGAACTCAGTATAAATGGTTCTTCCATCTCCTGGTGTCTTCCTCAATCTCTCTCTTTAACAATTTAAAATTTTCATTATAGAGATCTTTGGTCGTTTTGGTCAGATTTATTCAAAGATTTTTTTGGTCTTTTTTGAGACAGGATCTTCCTGTAACCCCAGCTGTCCTGGAACTCACTGTGTAGACCAGGCTGGCCTTGAACTCACAGAGATCCGCCTGTCTCTGCCACCCGAGTTCTGGGATTAAAGGCATGTGCCACCACACCCAGCTGACAAGCTAATTTTTATTGCAAGTAACCCTTAGATGTTTGTACATGCATCTCTAGTCTCTATATATCTGATTATTACTAGCCATAATCAGTTACTTTCTGAGATCCCTAGAATATTTTTAAATTGGTGCGAGCATACACACTCAAGACTAAATCTAAAGTTGTTTCTCCTATATCAAACTGATACTTTTTGGTGATGGCTATGGTTTTTATTATTTTATAAGCAAGTATAAAAGATGATGCTTTGCCGGGTGTGGTGGCGCATGCCTTTAATCCCAGTACTTGGGAGGCAGAGGCAGGCGGATCTTTGTGAGTTCAAGGCCAGCCTGGTCTCCATAGTGAGTTCCAGGACAGCTGGGACTACAAGGAGACCCTGTCTCAAAAAGAC